TGGGAGAGTTCAGACCCGGCATATGAATTGTTCATCTGATAGCCAGGAACTGGAAGCGGGCGTCCTGTGTTGGGATCCAAAGGCATTGGAGGACCACCAGAGCTACGCTGTTGTGGTTGTTGCTGTTGTTGCGGGGAAATTCGCTGTCCAGCGACTCCATTCATCATTGGCTGCTGGTAGCCCCCGGGACCACCTGTACCCCGAGGGAAGCCGGGATCGCCCATTGGATAGGAGCCTCCACCACCACCACCACCACCCCCTTGCTGGCTACCGACGTACATGCCCCGACCGCCGCCTGAAGGACCTACTTTTAGGATGGAAAATAACCAAAAAAAGATAGAAAAGAGCAGCCTCATCAACTGACAAACGGGTATAGAAGGAGATAATGACCACAAACCGATAGTTTATCCGGCGAACCTGTCAATGATCACTAGTGGTGACCTGCACAACATCGATAACACACCAATCAAATTCGAATGGCGGCAAAACTGTCTTCTAGGGCCGCCTAAATATATATTCCCCCCGCCCAACTGTCTTACGGAATTTGTGGTTAAACATTTAATTCTTGGTTAACGAGAATAAATGAATATTTGATTGTGCTGAAGGTGATCAAAGAATATTAAATTAAAGCTACTTATAGTTTTTAACCAACTCCCAAAAGGGCAACTCGACCTTATATTGGCGGAATTTAACGAAAAAAGGGGAAAGTCGGTTTACTGAAAATGTAAAAGTAGGCTATTATTATAAGTCAAGGGCAAATAGGACCACTAAAGATAGTCTTACCCTAATGGCACAAAACAAGGCCAAGGCAAAGAGTGATAAATATAGACTGTGTTGGCAATATACCTTAAAGATCGCACTAATCAGCCCCCAAGCGTTGGCTTCCGCTCCTGCATAAAAAGAGTAATCACAAAAAGAGTAATCACGCCAATTGACAACATTCAAACCAATTAAGCCACCAGGCAACGGAAAGGCGTAGTAAATATTCTCCGCTTGCCATACATCAGTAGTAAACTGGGTGCATCTGACTAGAAATTAGTCCGAGAAGGGGGGCTGAGCTACCCTAAAAACATAATTCACGTACCACCACCAGTTCAGGTATGACGCGACAAGGTCACCACCCCTGGACCGACACCGCAGTCTTGTCCAGCAAGCTTCCGCCAGCGGCGAATAATGTACATCATGTCAAAGTATTAGAAAGTCAATTTCCGCATATGGACAATGTCATCAGTCTTTCAAGGGAGTGGAGTGGGACAGAGACAAACGAAGACTCGCAATTACATGCCGCTATAAAGCTGGCTTGCCGCCATGTAACAGACCCAAGTGTTAGCAATCGCGGCCCATAAAACGCGTTTGATGGTGCGCGCTGTCACGTCTAATCACAATAAGAAGTCAATGGCCCAGAATTTGCAGTGTCCATGGAAAAAAATGCATGTCTGGGTAGACCCTACTCCGAGGTAGTTTGCTCCATTCTGATCCACGCGCTGAAATCGCTCATGAGTAATGAGGACAAAAAACTCGCGAAAATAACTTGAGCCATACCAATTATTACATGTAACATACGCTCACAAAAACAGATAGGATGACAGAAAATAAGGGGAAATCGGTAGGACTGTCTTCAGAGGTCCTACTTGCCTTTGACCTATAATAATAACTTACTATTACATTTTGCAGTAGCCCGACTTTTCCTTTTTTCGGTAAATTCCTCTACGATTAGTTTGAATTTCTCTCAATTGGCATTAGTTGACTGAGCAAAATGAGTTTAATTTGATGGAGTTTATTCTATTTAGCTCATTAAAACCACCAGATGCGGCTTTAATTTAATATTCTTCTGTCACTTTCGACACAATTACATATTCATTTACACTCCTTAACCAAGAATTAAATGTTAAACCACCAAAAGATATTTAGATATTTAGGCGACACTAAAAGACAGTCTTGCCGGGGAGTCTAAATTGTCATATTTGTAAAACTATCCCAGAAAATGGGAAAGTTTCATTTTGCCCACAACCTTGGAAACCATGCATGTCTACAATTACATCTGATTTTACTTGGGTTAATAAACAGATCTGCATATTATCTCTAAGCTGTCTGAGGGGTGGATGTTTGGAAAATTTACAAATATTTTCCTCGTAGCGACACCTACAGGGAGGAAATCCTGTGGCGGCTTCGCTTCCGCTCATCATACCCGAAGTTGCTGCTTTATGCTGTTGCTGTTGTTGTGAGGACATCATATTCTGCGCGTTGGAGTTGTGATATAAGAAGGGCGACTCGGGACCAGGACCGCCGGTAGGACCTCCTCCCATTGTTGGTGGGTAGGGCCCCCCAACCATGCCCACGGACGCACCGCCG